GCTCTCAATATACATTGTGTATCATTACCTCTCAGTCAGAACTTCATACCTATTTTAAAGAATCTATCCACTTCTTATATTTGAAAGGAATAGGCGACTTATGAAAAGATGATATCACTGAGACTTTAATCCTCTTTGTCACCATATCTGGACCTGCAGCAGCATTAGAGTGCAACCTGATATTTCTCTCAAACCACACCCCATAAACTGCAGCAGCCACAATCATTCTTCTCACATTTGCTCTATAATTTCTCCCTTGCTGATTAACATATTGAAAGACCTAATTCCATTTACAACTCCTCATCTTAAATCCAGACGAAAGCATAATTTGGCTCCATACTTAAATTGTTATTTCTATTTTTAAATTAGTGTATATTCTTTGTTCCATGATGCTACAAGTTCAACATAATTTTGCTGGAAGGTTGGACTGTAGAGTATTGGTTAGCTCTAGTGTTATATTCTTACCACATTCAAACTTATCAAGTATGCATAATTAAGAACTTAAATTTTCAATGTATGTATATGAACTGAGGAGATCTATTATTGCTTGAGGTGCTAGTAATCATGTTATTTTTTCATGTTACTTGTCCACTATACTTAAAGTATAACTTCATTTTAGCCACAAATATATTAAAGATCAAACTTGGCTTATTCATTCGTCTTTCTTTTTCCTCTGTTATGTTAGGAGGAGATGGAATCTGGAGTTTCCAAATTTGTTTCGGATTCAACAAGATATGAATCACTGGGTTCTTGCGAACATGAAAATACCGGTATGTTAAATTTCCATAAATTTGTCCATTCATGGAAAGATGTTTCTATTAATCCTGTGTTCATTTATTGAGAGAAGTGAATGTTCTTTCCTCTAGGAGATCAGGCTGTAGATATATCTGCATGGAATGAACCAGAGGAATTAACTGATCATGATCCGGAGAGCCTATCTGATATTGATGATGTTGAGGTTTGCCTCACTGGCAGTAATTTTGTCTTTTTGTATGCCTGTGATGTTATTTCTGAAAGCTATGTTAAACAAATCTGTCTTGCATGCGCCTGCAATTCCACGTTTTACATGAAAATCTATCAGTGCAATCTAATTTTTGTTCATTGGCGTAAATCACCTGCTTCTTTGGTAGCTAATCAAGCAAAATTATGTAGGTTAATGGATATCTTCACAATGAGGAGGAGAAGCGTTTGAAAACAATAATATGGGAAGAAATGAATAAAGAGTATCTTGAGGTAAGCATTCTCTTAGCTTGAAAACAAACGTGGAATTTGGTATGATGTTCAGTGTATCTGATGATGATGGTTCAATATTAACATCCAACAGGAACAAGCAGCCAAGGAAGCCGCTGAGGAGTATCGGAAAGCCCATCTTGGAAATTTATCTGAAGCTAATCCTATAAAAAAGGTAGAGCAATGTATCTTGATTGTATTATTGGGTAGTTATCATATTATTTTTGTTGCTATATTAATTTTAAATATTTTAATTATTTTCAGAAATAAACAGACTGGTTAGATGGTGAAAGTTCGTTTTTTTTATGATGATCTAGTGAAGTATAATTTAGGATTTACATTTAAAGTTTCCTTCTTTTCACTTCATGCTTCAAGATTTTCAAGCATAATCAAGATGACTCATCCTCCATGTCGTCTTTTTCGAATGCTTTTTTTTTTCTTTTTTTCTTTTCCAATTTTAAGTTTTGCTTCCTGCCTGTAGATTTTCATTACATTTTCTTCTCTTTGTTTTTAAACTTAGTTTACAACTCTAGCTGCCCATTGAGTTACTGATGTAACTTTTCCTCCGATTCACTCTTTTCCAGTAAGTTTACATCATGCATGTGTCCAGTTAGATATACCTCTTTTTGAGAAATTAGTGCATTCTTGCCCTTCCCTGGCCCGGTCTTTCCTACTCAGTTTCCTCTTTACATCAAAGCAACCTTTTGTGGTCCAGTTAGAAATCAATGCTTAGATCCTGATCATAAACAATAATGGAAAATAGATTCATGCTGAGGTATAATTCTTTCTATTTTGTACCTTAGAAATACGAACAAAAAAAAGAAGACAAAAAATCATAACAGAAGTATACAGGATTGATTAAATTGCTCTACACTAATAGCATACACAAATAAAAACCAGGTTAGATATAATACGTGGATTATCTCTGTGTACTTTACTAATCAATATAACTTTATTAATATTTCCTTCCCACTTTGTTCTTACTCTATTTTCAGAGACAATATTCGTTCATCAATATAGTAAGTCGCAGTTTATGAAATTCTGCTAGTGTTTTTTTGCGTAACTAATAGCGAAGGTTGTGGAAACGGAAAGCATAACGAAGCGGTGAGGACCACTTAGGCTATTTTGGGGCTTTAGCTGCAAAAAGCAACAACAAGCAAACAGTCAAAAACCAGTCTAGTTTAAATGCGTATCAATATTATAAAAAATATAAAAAATTTAAGAAAAATCTAAAAAATCTATAAATGCATATTTGATGATTTATAGAAATCTTGAGCATGAAATAGCTGTGTAAAAATCACCAATATTAACAAAGTACTGTAGAAAGTGAGACAGAAGCTTCGAGGAGGTGGTGGTGCTTCGAAGAGAGAAGGTGGAGGTGGAGTTAGAGAACACAAAGAAGTTTCACGAGGAACAGAGAGGAGGACCGGAAAGCTTTGATGAAGAACAGAGAGGAGCGGGACTTCAACGACAAGAGGATGATGGGAGGAGGTGGAAATTCGACAAGAGGTGGTAGATCTTTGACAACATAAGGCAGGGGTGCAGCTCTAATAGTCTTCAATGATGAGTGGTAGTTTGTCTTTAAGTTAAAAAACGGCTCGGTTCAGGTCTGGTACGAAAAACCTATTTACTTAAGAATTTGCGTTAAATTTGGGTCGGGCACTAATCCGATAATTTGTATTTTAAAGTGTTTGTATAGTTTGTAAAGTGTTTTGAAGTGCTTTCGCACGTCATTGGCCACTTTTTCGAGCTAATAGCACTGATGCCTCTAAAAATCACCGCTTTCGACCATAGGCCATTACCGCTGTTGCGTCATTATTTACAAAACTTGCTAGTAGCATAAGAAAACTGGATATCTGCAAAAGAATAGAGACAATAAGAATATACTACTTATACAAAATTCCTGTACATTTTGGCTCATGTCTATTAGTATGGTGGAGTGGCTTACTACTTACATCTTCCTCTTAGATCTTAGACAACACCTAGCTATTTTGCACCCCTCAAAACAAGAAGCATTTAGGCCCACCTATATAATTTTAAACTCTGCTACCCCCTAATTACAAAGGTGAAGTAGTCAAAATGATTTTTGATAGAAGCGTTGTACATGTGGGGAGTGTTTCTTTCAGACGTTTTGGACTAAATGGAAAAACATGACAATAAGGAAGATGCCATGTGAGAAGATTATTGGGATTAAGTGTGTTATTCTCCTGGTTCTAGCCTCAGGCAATGTCAAACTTTACAAGGGGAAAGGAAACTAATAAATATTAGGCACTCTTTAGATTGAAACAAGTAAACCAATGAAGCCTGAAGATCGATTAGTAAGTTGGTAATTAGTGAAAGAGGACAAGAACTAGTAGAATGAGAAAAATACATAGTACAGTTAGCCATAGGCCATAGGACATATGAATCTTACAAAGTTACTTCGTTAAGTTGGAGTAATTTAAACATTTCACCGATCCTATAATTTTTTGAATACCTTCGTTTATAAGATTTTTATCTATATTACCTCCAGTAATCTGTCTTATTAATAAATTTAGTTCCCCAATTATTTGTCAATTAACTCTAAAAATCATTTCAAACCTATTACTTTACCCCAACTTAACCTCTATTTTTCTTCCACCAAAGTGAGCACAAAAATTCCTAATTTTGCCCTTATCTTCTACCTCTATGAGAAAATTGAAATCAATAAAGATATGGTTGTGGCTGCTACTAAAAGATGAACATGACAGAAAGATGGTATGGAGTGCATGATGGAGAAAATGACAGCTCAGAATAAGAAATTCTAGGGTTAGGTGGCTGAGCTCCATGAGAGGACTGCTCAGCGAGGACATAGTTGTTGGAAAAGATGAATAATCTCAGTAACACGAGAAAATGGATGAGACACAGAGTAAAATGAGTACAGTACTTGCCCGGAGAGAGAGAGAGAGAGAGAGAGAGAGAGAGAGAGAGAGAGGAGAAAATGGATGAGACAAAGTAAAATGATAGCAGTAGCTTTGCCTGGCAGTCAGAGAGAGAGGAGAAAATGGATGAGTCAAAGTAAAATGATAGCAGTAGCTTTGCCTGACGGTCAGATAGATAGATAGAGAGAGAGAGAGAGAGAGAGAGAGAGAGAGAGAGAGAGAGAGAGAGAGAGAGAGAGAGAGAGNNNGAGAGAGACCACATAGCTAAATTACCCTAAAAATTAGTTGTTAAATCCAAAAATATGGTTTACAAGTTCATGTCACACACCCTATGCAAAAAAACTAACATATCTCCATCATTAACATAACCACCACAACATATACTAAAAAGAAAACTTTTTAAAAGTATTTCGCAATAGCCAACTTCATAGCAAAATCCTTCATTCAAGAACAATTGACTCATTATGAGCCTCCTACCATCAGCAGCCATCATGGAAGTAGCCATACTAGCATTAGCTGCCGTAGATTTTCCAGCACATCCCTTCCCCATCTTGCCATTGAATTCTCATCCTACGCCTTTCTTGCACGTGTAGAGCCCTAGTTGACATTGACTGACCTAACCAAAAAGCTTGAGAAATACACAATCTTCAAGCCCCAATGAAGCCACAATTGCCGAAGAGAGTCAAATTTCAAATTCTTCCAACACCAACCTTGAAGTGAATGGATCTGCAGATAGAAAGAATGAAACTACAACACTGAGATGAGGATGAGATTCTTTTGTTGAATCACAAAAAACAGCAAGTAGCATCAACTTGCATCTTCTTTTTATGAATGGATAAGCAGTTGCTGTAGTGAAGATGAAGATTAAGTGGGTGTTTATTATGGTCTTATTTTTTTCTTTGTAATTAATTTTGCTTGAGCGGGATAGATTTTGATGATTATTTCCTTAAATTCACTCTTTTCGGCCCTTATTTCTTAACCCTAGTGCTAACCACTTCCCCTCCAGATCCAATTCTGAGATCCACTCCTTTCCTTCGTTGGTGTTCTTGCTTCCGGTGCTCCTTCACCTCCGTAGCGCTAGCCTAGTAGAGGATTTAATTAGTGAGGAGATGATTTAATTAATGTAGTTAATCATATTTAGACAATTTTATTTCATATATATTTCAAATATGTTATTAATGTACCATGGTATAGAAGAATATACGCAATATATCCTCGAACGGAGAAGATGAGGGATAACTTAAAAGTTCAAATATAAACTGAGGAGTTAATTGGCAAATATTGAAAGTGAGGAGTTAATTGGTTAATATGAAGATTTGAAGACTAATATTAAAAGTTTCATGGTGTATATAGGTAAAACAAGTCATAGTTTTAAAGATACTATAAAAAGAGAGAGAGCCAAAAAGTTAATATTCCTTTTTGGCATCCTTTGTCTTCTATAATTCGCATGGTCTTCCTCCAAAAATCTTGCTTGTTACCTTAAATTTTAGTTGAAACCAAACTTGCATGTGCTGAGCTATACGTTGTATTCATCATCTACCTTGACCTGCTCCAATTATTTTCACTTTTCTTTCTGACATTTTAGAAACCGGTGGTTTTTGTAAGAGCCTTGATCTGTAAATTGACACTCATATGCTGGCAATAAATTCATTCTGTTCATCCTGAAGTCTTAAAACCATAGTCATTGATAAAGTACAAGGTTTTAATTATCAAATATTGGGAAAATATCAAACAGTCAAAATCCATATCAAATTACGAATATCTGGGAAATATCAGAGATATGTAGTAAATATTAAGTGCTATATCGGATGATGTGCATATATAATCTAATTTCTTAAAATATAATCTAAACATACTTAATGAAATCTAAGCATATAAAAATATAAATAGTATATGTTTAGGACTATTAACGAATTGTAGAAACTTACTTGGGAAAAAGAACACACTAGAGTTTGCTACAAAACTTCGTAAGGTTGAATTTTTTTGCTTAAAACATTAAAGATTTTTCTAAACTATATTGCTTATTGATAAGCCATATAAAAGTGGTAAAGGATATTGAGACCATATCGTTTTGTAGCAAGCCTTGTAAAAGGATATATGAGCTGGATTTATAGGCCCTATCAGGGATATTTGAAACAATGATAAATTACGAGATGATCATACACTGTGTACTGCACATTTCTGCTTCAAGCATTCTGTTGTTTATAACTTACTATCATTTTGCTTTCTTATTATTGTATTGTTGGTCTCCATAACAGAAAAGGAAGCAAAGGCCTGCTGGAGAAGAAAAGAAAACTCCTGCTGACAGTGCTTTGAAAGCAACTAAACAGATGTTAGAGAGTAAGGTATGAACTTAGTAATTTAGCACATGTTGAACGGTTAAAGAAATATGAAGTATCAAGTGATTCAAATGTCCAGTATGCTCACACTCACACATAACAATACTGCTGATAATATTTACTGCTGAATTTTCTCTATTCTTCTCTATTTTGCAACATTTAACTTTTGCAATATTTTTTATTCTCCATTTTTGTTGCAGACATTCAGTTCAAGAGTAAACTATGAAGCATTGGAGAGCTTATACACTGTATGTTTCACTGTGCTGCACATAAACACTAATATTTCTTCCTTTAATGTCTACATGATTATTGATTTGACTATTCATTCATAAATTTATTGTTTGCGTATTTAGTTTTTTTAGTGGTTTGACACCTAGCTTCAGGGATGAAATTGGTTGATTGAACTTTGTCTCTTTCAATTGTAAAACTCGTGCCATGATGATGTGGATGCAATTTAGTTCAGTATTAGATGTTATGTTGCTCTTGACCCTTAGTTCTTGTAGTTAGTATAACATGGGTTGATGCATATTCTTGACAAGCATCAAGTAAAAGCTGAAAAGGCTAGGGTTGGTTTAGTTGTGGATCCCTTTAATTCTGCCACATTGTATATCAAGCAATGTTATTAATCCGTTTTCTATTGACTTTTCGCTTATAAAGCAATCAGGCCTTTTTGGAGATTCTTCTTTCAGTTCTTTTCTTTGGTAAAATTTAATGTTAGCAAGCTCAGTGTTCGTCACCTCATGGTTGTTTATGTCAAATATATGGGCCCTAGTTTTTATTACTTGCATGTTTGTAATTTTTAACTCCTCTATTTTCATGAAGATACTTGAAAAATCGTTTATGATTCTTTCTGATTTGGTTTTTATAAGGTGGATGCAAATTCAGTTTGTATAGTCATCGCTGTGCTTTGCCGCAAACCGAAGCAACTTCCTAGCCAGTTTTAGATTGTTGCCTCTGTTGTACAGTTAGTCATAAAGATGCGGTTAATAAAGCCCCCAACCCCAAAAAACAAACAAACAAACAAACAAAAACCCATCCACACACACGCCCTGGAATTTCGCTCCATAACACATTGATGGATAGCTTTCTACAATAATGAATATTAACCTGTGAACTAGATATTCTTTCCTGCCAGACTTCTTTGTCTTTTTTATTCTTTTATACATTCTAGAGCTTCGAGGAGCCACTGGTAGTGAGATTCAACAGGATTTCACCCTAGACAAAGCTTTAGAAGTTGATATTATTTCTAACAGGATTTCACCCTAGACAAAGCTTTAGAAGTTGATATGAGAAAGATAGTTGCACAAACCATTTGTGGATGAGCCTTTGCCTTGTTACTTGGAAGCCTGGGGTCCAAGGGCCAGTCTGGCATTGTGGAGCTTAGAATAAGTTGCTTATATAAGTAGCTTATAGAAAACTTAAAATTTCTTCCAAAATCAGAGGTATTTGGCGTATAAAAAATAACGATAGGATATGGAGTACTTAGAATTCTGATTGGATTAGAAATAGGTAGAGAGGTTATGGAAGACGGTAGTTTAGATCTGTACTATATGTTGGTTCAGAAGCTTGAAATATGGTGCAAAAGCAGAGCTAGTTTGGGCATATGGAAGAAACAACAATAGGATTTTGAGTAATTATGATTAGGATTGTGATATAAGTAGGTACTGAAGTTAAGGAAGAGGGTAGGTTATTTAGAAATGATTCAATATTTGGTTGTGTAATTCCATGCGACACAAGACTGATAGAAGTCTATCAACTGTCAGTTTCTGAAAACAGAGGGGAAGGGGATGGGTGGGTGAGTGTTTCTTTTTTTTCCCTTCTGCTTTTGTTTTTTGGGAAGACG